AATCACTCGCGAAATACTACAATCCTTTCGCCGAATCAGTCTTAAAGGCGCCTGGAATGATGACTGTCATCTGAAAGCTATCGCACGTCGATGGAGCCGTCTCTGTCACGAGGTAGAGGAGATTGCAGCTTCATGACGCTTGGAAACCAAACTACTGGGGCTCGCTCAGGTAGATTACATCATCATACCCGACCAGCCAATGACCCACACTGGCTAGGAGCTCTGCCACCCAGGCTTTTTCTCACTTACAGCAATTTTGTATGGGCTATCAAACGGAGGGCATCAAGCTTGAACCCGTGTTGACTGGATTCCTTGACGAGAGTCGGAATTATCTACAATATCGCCTTAAGCTGCACAAGGAACCCTGTCTTCCATTCATTTATCCATTTATCAGAAAGCACCAATAGCTTCCTGAGTGCATTCTTGGCAGCGGCGAGATAATCGCACGATACCCAATCTATCCTTCAGTCAAAAGCAGAGAGCTTCCTTCTTCTTTCGTTCTTCCATCTACGCAACTCATTTCTCTTGCTGGAGCCGTGACGGGAAATCGATAATCTTCACAAAGTCAGCAATGTCAATAGTTTCATCAAGTCTATCTTAGATCCCTCAACCTGACCAACACTCAACGTAGTTCATTAACTCAGCATAGCGACCATATACAATCTTGCGTCTTGTGCTGTGCTCTTCGGTACTTAACGATCTATTTTTTGAATCAAGACGGAAGGCTTTCACCGCAGCTTTAACCCCGTCGATATTTTTTGGACGCTGGGAAATTACCGCGGGTGAGAGAAGAGATTTGCGTGTCAATTTGATTAGTCGATACGCGTCCCTCAAATTGGCGAAGAAAGACCAGGAATCCTTGAGACCCCAAAGCAACTCTGCGCTTCTCCAATCTTCTCAATGTCAGGCCAGGATGGAATATTCTGACTTGTCGGGGTATGCATACCGTGTCTTGTCCCGGGTTCTGGCTCTTCCAAAGTTCCTGAGGTCATGTTTCTTGCTACAGTCAACTCTCGCTTATACCACGGTGGGATATTGCACATTCTTGATAATAACACATCCCTTGCTTGGATGGCCCCTTCATTCCAGTTTTTTCCATATAAATTGACAGAATATAACACATTTTGTTTTACCACACTTTCTTCCTCTCAAATCTGCTTAGTCAGCGCAATCAACCAATCAGAATGCCTCAATCTACAAGCTCTCCTACCCTCCCGACCCCACCCAAGCGCGTCAGAATGGGACCAAAGCGTACCAAATTGGGTATATCAGACGCGCAGAAACAGGCACTACGGGCATTTTGGTCTAATACTAGCCCAAAGCCCACGCAGACTGCATGTGCTAAGTGGTTTGAGGACCAATTCAAACAAGTGATTGACCGGTCAACCATATCAAGGATCCTTTCATCCAAATACAATTATCTTGATACGGGCCCTGCAGGGGCAAACAAACGATCTTCATCCTCTCATTGGCCATTATTGGACCAAAAGCTATATGACTGGGCAGATAACCATATTGGCAATGGAATACCAATAAATGGCCCTTTGATCCAAACTAAAGCAGCTGAGCTTTGGAGACAAATACCGGAATACAAAGATCGGACCAAACCTCAATTCTCTGAGGGTTGGTTAACTCGCTTCAAACAACGCCACTCTCTTCAATATCATACTTTCCACGGAGAAGCTGCCTCAGTCCCATCCTCGGTACATGATCAGATCAAAAGCACCAAATCGATTTGCAATCAATTCAAACCGTCCGAAATCTACAATATGGATGAAACTGGCCTATTTTGGCGACGTATGCCAAATGGTGGTCTTTCAAAGGGAAAAATTGCTGGCAAAAAGCTTGATAAAACACGAATCACTATTGTTGTTGCATCAAATGCGGATGGTTCCGATCGAGTCCCTTTATGGTTGATTGGCACAGCAAAACCCCCTCGCGCACTCCGGGGGGTTAATTTCCGAGCTCTGGGATGTGTTTGGCGTCACAACAAGGCAGCATGGATGCGTCATGACATTATGGAGGACTGGTTGCGATCTTTCTATGGGCGTATTCCCTTAGATAAGAAAGCTTTGCTCCTTTTAGACAATGCTTCACCACATGTTATTGGACTCCAGCGAGCGCCACCACCACCCCGGATTACGGTTGTTTTTTTGCCAGCAAACGCAACTTCAATTTATCAACCCTTGGACCAAGGTATTATCCAAAACTTGAAGCACCATTATCGGAAGAAATGGATGCGCTATATGATTGCTTTTCTTGATCGTGGGATAGACCCAAAACAAAGAATGAGCATTTATTATACTGTTACCTGGGTAACGCAAGTTTGGAGAACAAGTGTATCAGACCAAACGATTATCAATTGCTTTAAACAAAGTACTTTGATTAGTCCAAAGTCTATACCTATACCTGAGTCCGCGCCCGAGTCCGCACCTGAGTCTGCACTATTTTCCGAGCCCGGATTGAGTGATGAGATTGAAAGTCTATATAATCAAGCAATTGATAAGCTTGGTGATAAAGATATTGTGCCATTTGACGAGTTTTTGAACCCTTCGGACGAAGACATGTTAGAAGATGGGACTGAAGGGCGAGATGAGACCAATGAGCAAGATATATATATTGCCCCAACAACCTCAGAAATTCAGGATATTGACATTGATGGGCCCCCACCTGAGCTTCTGTCTAATTCTGCTATATTGGACAGCCTCCAGGATATCCTACTATGGGTTTGTAGCAAAGAAAAGGGTACCTCGGACCATATTAGACAAATTGAGAGCTTAATCAGCGACTTTGGCAGGATTCAGATTGATGAGAAACGTCAGGTGACTTTGGATCAGATGATGGGATGGAAGACTAAATAGGTATTAGGGCTTAGAGTTAGCTTGTCAAATATTATGTCATCCTCTCACCAAAACACAACTCAATTATACCACGTAATTTGGCTTGGATAGTATGCTGTGGTATAAGCGAGAGTTGACTGTATTGGCTCAGTGAGCCTGAGGCCTCAACATCTCTGAATTCATGCACAACGACCATATAGGGCTTATTAGATGTTTTGTACCATGGAACTCTTGAAGGTCCGTTGCACTCTCGCTTATTGTATTTTTACTACTACAAATAACTGTAGAAGTACCTCTTCAGGGAATCAGAATTAAAACACCTCATTTCAATGACAAAAACTTCTTGCCAAGAGAACCTCCATAGTCAGATATTTCAACAGGTGGAAGTATATATGCACAGACATCCAGACTTGTCCTACCACTTACATGATTTTGTTGGTAGCAGAAGATGAAATACGGGTGCCTATAGCTAGTACACTAATTGAGACCTGTTGAGGACCATGTCTTAGTTTTCACCAACTTTCCTTGGACATTTAATGCGTTTAAGGGCAAGAGCCGTATTCATTGCCGGGCAATTGATAATTTCCTGAATTTGCCTCTTAACCAAGCCATGTATAAGCCAAGCCTACCTCCCAAATCCTTTAGTATACACCATCTATTCATGCAGGAATCTCAACATAGACATCGTGTGATTCAACAGAAACAACATTATGAGGGTCCCATATCATCTCTCCACTTTACATACATGAGCCATGTATATCCCTGACAGTTGCCCTCGATCCAGCTTGCCGCAGGGAACTGAAGTTGAAGATCCAATAGCCTTTTGAAAGGACGGTTGAAAAGAATTGAATAACTCAAGATTAAACTTTTCTGCATATTGTTACAATCACTAATTCCCCACTATTTCCCCACTGTTTCCTCTGTCATTTTCGCCATGTCGTCTTTGGCTCAATTTCCAAAAAGACTTGTGCTGAAAAGAGATCCCCTTCCACCGCCAATGTAGTGACAATCTCAAGAAGCTCATACACAAAATGACAGGATCTTTATCATGCATTCTGTTTCAACTTCGCTAAAAACATGCGAAATCTATAAACGGCTCCCTTTTTTTTCGAAAAATCGCATGAGCATCTCGATCTTAATCAGACAAACCAAATTGAACCCTTTGCTGCCACCATCTTTCTAGTTAGAAAAGATTGTGGCTTTCTATGCGTTTTGCATCATGAAAGCAGCCTGTAAAGGAGACCAAACACTACACGGACAGCCAGATCTTGGCTGTGCCTCGGCCGGGATAAAATACAACACACATAGCCGCTAGGTGCGTTGTACTTAGCCTATTTCCTCCCTTCACCTTGCTAACTCCGAGCAACTCGGCTGCTTGGTGACGGCTGAATTCTACGACGACCACGGGGGAAGTGTCGTCGAACTCCGTAGGGGTGATTGATACTGGTTTGCTGAGCTTATCATTATCAACGAAGAAGGTGCGGAAGAATGCCGTGTCTATTTGGAGCTGTCAAGTGTTAGATTAGATTGGGTAGAAACGATGCTGTGACTTACATTTATGACTGTCCGGTTGAGCGCGTACTTGTTCAAAGCCAGTGCTGCTTTGACGCGGTCTCCAATCTGCTTCTTGTCCATTGAGCAAGTCCCAACATCTTTTTTGACGGCCCTCTTTGGGTTGGGTCTTGTACGGGCCTTCTCCGTCGGTTTCTTCTGGTCCGCCTCGACGGGTGAAGACGCGCGGTGAATAAGATTATTAGTTGCAAGCGCCGATTCAAACTACTCGGAATGAAGCAATAACCCACCTTTCGTGAGGCTAACATGTCGTCGAGCTGGTCAAGAAGCTGATTCAGGAATATGTAAGGAAGTGGAAGAAAAGAGCGGAACCTCCGTATTTTGGAGAGAATGCGGAACCGATTTTGAACACGCAAAACGTATTGGGAGACGCGTTGTCGAATGAGACTCGTCTAGTTGTGGTACGCCACTCTGGAGTACCGCTCCTCAGATCATCGAATCAAAATCGAGAAACCACTTTGCCCCCGACGCCGACGATCCACCCAAATTACCCCTCGTCCCGGAATATCCTCTTTCCCCCTCCTTTTCCATCTACCTACACTATTGACAGCTACCTTGATAATTATTCTCTGTCCGTATTCTGCCAACATGTCTTCCAACAAGGGATACAACATCACCAGCTCTGGCATGAACAGCCAGGTATGTCACAACAAGCCTTCCAGTCCTGTCTCGTTCCTCGTACTTCATGATCTGCCGTGAACCCTCTTCCATATTAGGTACTAAGAAGTATTTGGTGTGGTAATGACAAAGGAACAGGGTAATCACTATTGCTCCCGCGACTACGGCTCCAGCGTCTCGAATTCGAACAACTACCACTATTCGAACTCGTAAGATGGACCAGCTACCTAGGCTTGACTTTTCTATCCCATGCATTGACCATCATTTCTAGAAACGGCTCTTATTACTACTCTAACCCCAATGGGAGCACGTACTACAACAATGGACAGGGGGGCTCGACCTATACTACTCCCTCGGGCTCTGGGAAGAAATAAGTCCAGCTAGACTAAGAGTATTCACTTGATTGACAACCATAAGTCTAGCTAGTAATATTTGAGTCTCGTTGATGATAACTTTTGTCTCGTAATGGATATGCACACCTCATGAGATACACATAAAGCAGAGCTAAGGTCACCATAGCAAGCAAAACTTCTCTATTTCCCGTCAACAAATTCGTTAACCTCTTAGAAACATTGCTAAGAGCCGAACGAGAGGTTGGGACCAGAGGAATCGGTGACTGAGGGGCGGGCTGTTGTGATATGAGGCTGGTGCAGATCTGGAAGAAAGCCGCACTGTCGGAAATAATTCCCGAAGTGTCTATACGAAGAAGCATGTTGATTGAAGATCATCTTGGACCTCATATGTATATATAGCTTCCTGAATACTCTCAGAATCACAGTCAACACAATTCCACAGGACTACAACAGGTTATGAGCCCCGAGAGCAAATTCTCGGGGCCGTCACTACTCACACTGAGAATAATGTCACCTACATTGAGCTCATATCCCCGCTTTTTGCAGTCATCATGTCTGCTCTGGTCCACGACTCGCCCGACGGAGCCCGTCAAGCACAAAGTTTCGGATCGATCCCGATCCCTGGCACCGCAAGCAGCCGTCGTAGGAGCACGGTATCCAATCTGGCCGCGGCGTGATGGAAAGATGTAGACGGCGTCTCGGACTTTCCGCGGCCTCCTACAAAGTTTTCGTTAATCTCTTCTCGGCCAACAACCTTTCCATGATCTCGTCACATGACGAGTAAGTCGACAGCCACAGTGGCGTATTGCCATCTTTGTCTTTGCAGTTCACGTTGACACGGGGGTGACTTAATTGACCATTTCCAGGCGCTTGCTTCGAATGGCGAGATGGAGCGGCGTAGAGCCTTTCCTATTTTGGATATTCAAGTTCAGACCCTTTTGTCCGAGAAGCCGTTGACAGCATCTACCGACCCATAGGATACTGCTTGGTGAAAGGGTAGCTCGGCCTCCTGTGATGATTGGGTACCAAGAAACACCTCGTACTTCGGATCGTTTGGAAAAATCATTTCCATCACGGGCCTATTGAAGCGACGTGCACAGTCCCATGGCGAGTGGCCCGAATCATCCTGTAGATCAGGGTCGCTGCCTCTAGAAAGTAGCAGATGCACGAGCCCTATTCGGCCTGCGAAGACTGCTAGGTGGAGCGCCGTTCGGCCGTGTTTGTGCTTGACGTCCACCTGGACGTTCGGTTGATTTAAGACGCTCTTGACCGTGGAAAGGTTTCCGTAGCGGACGGCATTGTTGTAGTTCAAAGGAAGATTGATTCATCTATTATTCGGTGGGAAACTTGAGACTATATATACAACGAGAAGAACAAGTTGATTGGAAATCAACTTGGTTCTTCGTATACATATCTCGGGACTAATTCCGATGGTTCGGCTTGCTTCCTGATCTGCACCAGCCTCATATCACAACATCATTAACAGGTGTAGCTGTGCTGGCTACGACCCTAGGCACATTAAATTATTCGATGCAGATGTACTGTAGACCACGTGGACATCAATAACCTCACAGAGATCCAGCAAGCAAAACAATCTTGCTTCATTTGAAGTCTTAGACTTCTAAATTTCATCAAAATTTGCCAAGCCCTCACAAAGAAAAGAGCCCTGGCGAGAGGACGCTCCAGGCTTTGGCACGAAACCGGATACTGAAATCCACACGCAAGAAATTGTCGTACCATACAGACAGAGCTCAAATAATACTGTCACTCCTTGTCACTCCCTGTTCTGGCAAGAACGGCGAAGGTAGCTATAGCGTCTAGAAATTGTGATGGCTGCTACAAGACAAGATTGGGTCCCCCACTGGGGTATTGACAAGAACGAATTTGGTTCTCACAGTAATCTCGGTAAAGTTGAGTTAGGACGTGCGATTGCTTACTCTTTTGATTCCATAACATGGCCCATGTACACCTTATCATTGCCTAGATACCTTGTATCTTCTTTGCGTCCGCACTTCCATTCTCTTGGAAGAGGTAATTAATGTTAAAAGATCGGAAGTTTTAGGATTCCCTGAATAAATAATTCTGGAGCCTTCTTCTCTCTCTTGCACTCGGATGCGGGAACCTGCCGCAGACCAGCGAACGGCATTTTGCCCACAGCTGATCTGTCTAATATTTCATCCTCACCTAGTATATTCAGTGTTAGTGAACACACCTTCGGAAAGGCCATGAAACTAAAGGACCGTCTGGAGGTTGTCTTCGTAATGGAGGTATTTATTCGTACTCTTGTTCAATATATCCAGATAAATGAAAAATAAGCTGAGGATAAGGCGGAGTGCCACTCAAGGCAGAAGCAGCATGTTCAAGAATTTTCAGTGTTGTTGGGCAATCTGCCGCTTATCGCTACTTACTCAGTTCTCAACGGTTTGTTCTTACAGTAGCTAAGAAGAACGAGGGGCTTCTCAATCATATAACCGCTCCTCATCCGCAGCAACACACCTCGGGCACTTTTCTTCTGATTCAGTCCGTGAAGAAAAACAATCCAACACACCGTGTATCTGTATTCTTTCCCTCGCGATGATATCTTCGTACCTGCTCAGTAGCGATTGCGCGGCGAGGTGCATCTTGGCCATTCCTTGGAGAAAATGTTGTCGGAAGCTGAGATGTGGTCAGATACCGCTTGTAGGTATTGAATCGTATCGTTTATCGTCGTCGTACTGATTACTGTAACTCTTGGAAGTCCCTTTTGCTGCCTCTCTTGCGTCGCCAGTTTTCGTGAGAGCGTTGAGGATTCGGCTGCTCTCATTTTCCCTTCCAGTGGGGGTAGACCTTGCTTTCCTGCCTTCATGCAGCTTTCAGGCGATTTAGAGTTTCTTGAGCTAGCAAGGAAAGTAGCTACAGAGTCAGACAGGGACCGGTCAACAGACGGTTGCAAAACCTGGTATGCGTTGCAGCGATCTCCGTGGATGAATTGGCCGACGACCTGTCGGAAGTTTTCACCCGAATCTTTGCCTCCATGAAACAGGCTTGTCAGCCAATGGATTCCTCGAGAAAGGGGATCCAGAAGGATGATACCAGCTTGCCATATATGTCCGTTTTGAACTTCTTTGTCTGGGTTAAGGGGCCTGTTTGATATCCGTGGCAGCTTGTAATCCATGATTACTTGGTTCCCTCAATGGACATTGTAATGACAAGATCTTGTAGGTGAAAATTCGACCACAAGGGCAATTATGACCTTTAAATGTTGTGGGCTGAAGCGGCCTCTGAACGCATATTCACAATTATCTTTTCGCGAGTCAGCCTTATCGGCACCGGCTCCTAGGAGCACTGTGGATGTTGCCTCAAACGCGGTATAAGGGTAAGAGACCTCAGCAGATTAGCTATATCCTCAGAGTAGTTGTGTCTCTCCACTAAGCCATGAGCCTACATCGCTTCTCACTTGGAACGTTACGTCAGGTATCATCTCCTGCTATTCTGGAGCCTGATCATCCTCTCGCATATTTGCTTGGACTTCTGCTGGGTATTTATGACAGGGAGCTGAGAAGCTCCACCATCGCTTCATTTCCATATCGTGCTGCCCATAATAGTGGTGTCCGATGATTATTGTCCATCGAGTCCACTTCCACATCATCTCGCTCAACCAGTAGCTTCACCACCGCTTCACGTCCATACTCGGTTGCAAAAGACAGTGACCCAGCCGCATAAGACAGTGGTGTCCGACCGTACTTATTCTTCGAGTCTGCCTCCACATCATCTCGCGCAACCAGTAGCTTCACCACCGCATCATGTCCACCCCATGCTGCGTACGATAGCGGTGTCCGACCCTCATTATCCTTCGAGTCCGCCTCCACATCTTCTCGCCACAGTAGCATTTTCACCACTGCTTCATATCCATTCAAAGCAGCACACGACAGTGGTGTCTGACCGCACTTATCCTTGGAATCCGCCTCCACATCATCTCGCTCAACCAGTAGCTTCACCACTTCTTCATATCCACACTCAGCTGCCCATAATAGTGGTGTCCGATGATTATTGTCCATCGAGTCCACTTCCACATCATCTCGCTCAACCAGTAGCTTCACCACCGCTTCACGTCCATACTCGGATGCGAAAGACATTGACCCAGCCGCATAAGACAGTGGTGTCCGACCGTACTTATTCTTCAAGTCTGCGTCCACATCATCTCTCTCAACCAGTAGCTTTACCACCGCTTCATGTCCACCCCCAGCTGCAAATGATAGTGGTGTCCGGCCATAATTATCCTTCGAGTCCGCCTCCACATCGTCTCGCTCCAGTAGCAGTTTCACCACCGCTTCATATCCATTCAAAGCAGCACATGACAGTGGTGTCCGACCGTATTTATTCTTCAAGTCTGCCTCCACATCATCTCGCTCAACCAATAGCTTCACCACCGCTTTATGTCCACCTCCAGCTGCAAATGATAGTGGTGTCTGGCCATCATTATCCTTCGAGTCCGCCTCCACATCGTCTCGCTCCAGAAGCAGCTTCACCACCGCTTCATGTCCATCCCAAGCTGCGTACGATAGCGGTGTTCGACCCTCATTGTCCTTCGAGTCCGCGTCAATATCATCTCGCTCCAGAAGCAGCTTCACCACTGCTTCACGTCCGCACTCAGATGCCCGTAATAGTAGTGTCCGGCCATTATTATCCCTCGAGTCCGCCTGCACATCATCCCGTTCAACCAGTAGCTTCACCAATTCTTCATGTCCAAACAGAGCTGCGTACCACAGCGGTGTCAAACCACCATTATCCTTCGAGTCCGCCTCCACATCGTCTCGCTCCAGTAGCAGCTTCACCACCGCTTCACGTCCATTCAAAGCAGCACATGACAGTGGTGTCCGACCGTACTTATCCTTCGAGTCCGCCTCCACATCGTCTCGCTCCAGTAGCAGCTTCATCACTTCCTTATGTCCACACTCAGCTGCGTGACAAAGTGGCGTTTGACCATTCTTGTTCTTCGAGTCCGCCTCCACATCGTCTCGCTCCAGAAGCAGCTTCACCACCGCTTCACGTCCATACAGAGCTGCGAGAGACAGTGGCGTCTGTCCATTCTTGTTCTTCGAGTCCGCCTCCACATCGTCTCGCTCCAGAAGCAGCTTCACCACCGCTTCACGTCCATACAGAGCTGCAAGAGACAGTGGCGTTTGACCGTTCCTGTTCTTCAGGTCCACTTGAGTACTACTTTTCGCTAATAGCAGCTCTTTCAGTCTGCCCTCAGCTTCTTCTGCGAGAAGGTGCAAGATTGTATTTCCTTCTTCATCCTGAACAGAAGTGTGTCGGAACGTCAAGACTCGGGCGAGGTCAGGAACGGCGCGTAAGAGTGATAATTGGTCACGAGGGTTGAGATTCTCCGCCGTGAGGAGAATGATCTCTCTCGGGAGATAAGCACGATCTTTTGGCGTTCTCATCGTCTAGCGCATGATAGGTACGGAAAGATAATGAAAACCCACAGCAGTCTGGTCTTCTTCTTGCCACGCTTTGAGACGTCGTTAACCTTGAGCGCTGTTTGGGAATAATGTGTTTGTTAGCAGAGGTTCGGGGCATCCCGTTTTGTTATATGGTTGTATTCATGCTCATCCTAGATATCTGCTCCATTCCACTTTCTCGGGTTGATAAATACGGAGAAACTTGGAGGTGATAACGTACTTAGGGGTGGGCTGTGCTTGAACTTGTCAGCCTTGTCAGAGTCCTCCAAAGCAAAGCGAGAGTGGATGTGAAATGTAGTAGCGGACCTTGCCTTTTCCCAGTGCAAAGTTGACAAGCTTTCTCTAAGCCTTTCTAGGGCTGGAACCTCGTGGAAAGATCAGCCGTGGCTCAATGAATCGAACAATCTCGCTGCCCGAGTTACGCCGCGTGCCTGGTGGGTCAGCAGGCATTGGACGGAACGGCCGAGGACAAAAAGTCAATTTGCTTCAGCCGCTGTGTGAGGACACACCCACCCCGGGTGCCTCTCCATTCGGCTGCCTGTATTCCTGTGGTCTTTACGGCTGTAGCCACAAATCTTATCTGCGTGTTCCCAACAACATTCGTGCAAGACACCGGTTTCTGTCTCAAGTATCTTCAATCATAGACCAACAAGTCATCGTCCTCAGGAGTTGCCAACGGAATGAACAAGACATCTCACACTGACGAGGTCCCTCGAGGGTGACGGCTACAACCAGAGCCCCAATCCAAACTCCAACGAGCTGACCACCAACGAGGACTTCAAGGGCCTCGTCAACGGTCGGACCGTGCGAGAAAGCGACTCGCAGACACTGTCAAACGCAGTCTCGAACGTCGAACATCTTGAGGCAAATAGCCAGCGATGCTCCTACCAAAGACGACGGTCACGGCAAGGCCACTTACCGCTGGCTCAGCGGTCAATTGATCGTGGCCAGACCCTAAGGGCGGTCTGCAAATTGTTGTGATATGAGGCTGGTGCAGATCAGGAACCAAGCCGTACCATCGGAATTAATCCCGAGGTGTCTATACGAAGAAACAAGTTGATATCCAATCAACTTGATCTTCTCTTTGTGTATATATAGCCCCAGTTATTCCCTCTGGTACAATAATTCAATCTTCCTTTTGAATTACAACAGGTTATGAGCCCGGGAGCAACTCTCGGGTGCTGTCTCTACTCATCTGAGAATCATCTTTACCTGCTTGATTGAATATCTACCCCGCTTTTACAAATCATCACCATGTCTGCTCTGGTCCACGACTCGCCCGACCGAGCCGTCACGGCCATCGAGCCTTTGACAGGAAGCGACAACTTCGCGACCTGGAAACGTCTCATGACGTCCTACCTCAAAGCGAGGCAGGTCTGGGATGTCGTGTCGGGCGACCTCCAGCGTCCTGACTGTTTATTCAAGTACGCCAAACCCATTTCGGCGGATATCCACCCCTTAGTGGAGCCGCACCTGGTTGGGGCGGTGAGGCAGCGCACCATTGAAGCGCGCCTCGAAGTGGAGGTCCAGGCATTCGAGCGCCACCGTGAATGGTCGCGCCGCGAAGCTGAGGCCTACCACACCATTTTCCGGTATCTGTCCCCCCACATTAGCATTCATGTCGCAGGACTAGAGATGTCCCGCGACCTCTGGAATGAACTTGAAGAACGGTACCGGCGAATGGAACTCGCCACGTTCTGCGAGTTGTTTGCGCAGCTTCGTGAAACCACTGGCGAGCGCTGCGGCAGTGCCCGCGAATTTGTCGATCGGGTACGGTTGCTCGTACATCGATTGAATGCTATCGTGCCCGGATCCATTGGCGATCGAACGCACATTGCGATCTTACTGACGCAGATCGGACCGGAATATATTCTAGTTGTGGATGCCATTCAGAACGACAAGGATCCGGTGAATCCGACCACGATAGGAAACTGTCTGTCTAATGCTGAGCAGACGGTTCTGAGAAAAGAAGCTCCAACACCCTTGCAGGCAACGTCTGGCCCGTCCGTCAATACGGTGCAGCAGACTGCCAAGAAATGCAACTATTGCAAGAAGCGCGGCCATGTGGTCGCGCAGTGCTGGAAGAAACAGCGAGAAGCTCAGCCGTCCAGGGACCATGCCCTGAAGGCTGAGAGGAGTGTTTCCGGCTCACCAAGAAATAATTTGCAAATGATACCATCAAGCCAGATGGAAGATCGGCAGGGCCCGCCGACTTCCAAGAGACCGAGGATCAATATCGTGAGGGCGAGGGTGACGACCCTTTATACTCACGCACCGCAACCCCGGTGGATCCTGGACTCGGCCGCCACCAGCCACATCTGCTGGGACCGGAGCTGCTTCAGCAGTCTGCGGCCCCACCGCGAGATGCTGGACACGGCCGGCGATCCAGTGGAAGCCGAAGGGATTGGTACGGTGAAGCTCACGCTCCGGGGGAAGTTCAACCAACCCCTGGTGTTAAGGAATGTATACTTCGCGCCACGCGTCGGGATGAACCTGATCAGCGTGCCGAAACTGTTGCGAGACCGCTACTCGGTGGTGGCGCACCCGCAGAACGTCTTTGTGCAACGCCGAAGACGGACGGTGGGGACCGCCTACCACGCGGAGGGGGATCTACTGATCCTGCGGTGCCATGTGAGCAAGAGATCTTGAGAGCGAGTCCAACTGGCGCCGGCGACCCATGGCCATGTAGATTCCCTGGAACCGTAGGCGGTGGCCATGGACGTCGACGACCCTCGGGAGTCAAGTGGCGCAGAATGCGCAGCGTCAACCTCTGTACTCGGCGGTGAAGCTGTGATACTCGAAGAAGGTGCGTGCAAAGGAGTGGTCCAGGCCTCTGAAGCGTTGTGGCACGCTCGGATGGGACATCTGAACCGGGGAGACTTGAGGGTGGTCCTCCGGCAGACCGGCACTCCGTACCGACCGCTGACGCAGGCGCAGCTGCTGGCAACGCCGCAGTGCCCGGCGTGCATGTCGGGTAAGCAGCATCAGAAGAGGAACTCCCGTGCAAGACGGCCACGTCTGCACTCATCGAGAATATTCGAAACGATCCATTCGGACATCATGGAGATGCCGATTGCCAAAGATGGCTCCAGGTACGTGATCACCTTTACTGACGATTATTCTCGTGGCTCGTGGGCATATGCCATGAGATGGAAGCATGAAGCGCTCCAGAAGTTCCGAAAATGTGAGGCCTGGGTGCACCGTCAGTTCGGCGCCCAGATCAAGAGGTTCCTCACCGACAACGGGAGAGAATACTTGCTGAGCGGAACACACCTCGAGAACCAGGGAGTTGAGTTTGACACCTCGCCGCCATACTGCAAAGGGCAGAATGGGTTGGCCGAACGCACGAATCGCAGTATCCGGGAGCGGATCAACACGCTCCTGTCCGATGCGAAACTTCCTCCTTCCTGGTGGACCGAGCTTTTAGAAACGGTAGTCTATCTGAAGCTGCGCGCTCCAGCATCAGTCCTACAGAAAACGACACCGTACGAAATAATTTACGGGAAGCCGCCCTCGCTGTTGCATTTGCGACGGATTGGCTCCCGCGCATGGGTGTTGATCCCAAAAGAGCATCGAGCAAAACTCGGACCGAGATCATCCGAGTGTCGATTGCTAGGCTATTATGAACCGAACCAGTACAAGCTCTATGAGATACATTCTAGAAAGACAGTCTTTTCCCGTGATGTTGAGTTCGATGAGAGGACCCCGGTGGCGCCACTCATCGAGGGGGAAACAAGCAACGACCTCCCGGACAACGCTCCTCCATCACCTGTCTTTCCATCAATGCCAAGTTCAGCCAGAGGGCTGCTAACACCACCGGCATCGCCAATACCTCCGGCGAGTGAGCGAGAGAAAACGCCACCTGGGCGTGAAGAGGAGACACTTCCAGTGGTCAATCCAAGCCAACAAGGAAACGACTTGACATCGGATCTTGGGTATTCGATCTATGGTCGCAGACGAAGACCGTCGCGGCGACTCCTGGAGTCACTAGGCAAGGTGTACTCGGCAGGCACATTGAACACCGCACCGCCCAGACAAGTCGACTCGGCGACCTTCCACGAGGCCGTGTCAGGCCCAACCCAGCTGGAATGGTGGGCCGCCATCCAGAAAGAATATGCGTCGCTTCTCGAACACGGAACATGGGAAAAGGTTCGGCGAGAGGACATCCCAGCCGGAGATCATGTGATTGGCTGTAAATGGGTCTTCAAGACCAAAGCCAACGGAACGCGCAAGGCGCGATTGGTCATCAAAAGGTTACCAGCAGAAACAAGGCATCGACTATCACGAAACGTTTGCTGCTGTGTCACGAATGGACTCCATCCGCTGCATTGTAGCCAGCGCCGTGTTGCGCGGATGGAAACTCCACCAATTCGATGCGGTCACCGCATTTCTCCATGGAGACGTCGATTCGTCTATTTATATGGAGTTGCCCGAAGGCTTTGAAGAGCCAGGGTACGTGTGTCGGCTGCGCCGCTCACTGTATGGGCTGAAGCAGGCTCCGCGGATTTGGTACCAATGCGTCCACCGCGTCCTGGCTTCTCATGGCTTCACCATAGCCCAATCGGACAACTGTGTGTTTTACAAATCGAATTGCGTCGTTTGTGTCTATGTCGATGATTTCCTTGTTGCTGCGGCAAACACGCACGAAATCGAAAAAGTGCAACAAGCATTGCAAACAGAGTTCCGACTGAACGATCTGGGCACCCCGTGTTCCTTCCTCGGGATCCAGTTCGACTATCACGTCGATGGGTCCGTGTCTATTCACCAACACCAGTACATCCAGAAGGTGCTCTCCGACTTTGGCATGGAGAGTTGTCAACCGAAGTCTACGCCGATGAATCCCAAGCACATCCTGAATCATCGTCCAGACGAGGAACCTCCGGACGAGGAAGCAAAAGCTCGTTATGCGACTGCCATTGGTTCGTTGATGTATCTGATGGTTGGCACGCGACCGGATATTGCGTTTGCGCTGGGCCTGTTGAGTCGCTTCACGGCTCAGCCGCAATCGCACCACCAAGTCGCTCTGCAGCGACTGCTTCGCTACATCAAAGCCACGCAATCTCACCGCATTACCTACCGCAGTGGGCAGCTGATCGGGTATACAGACGCCGACTTTGGTGGCTCCGTCGTCACTGACGGTGCATACTCGACGTCTGGCTATGTATTCCAACTTGCAGGTGCGCCAGTTTCCTGGTCATCCAAAAGACAGGGGGAAGTGGCCACGTCTACGACACACGCCGAATACATTGGACAGTACAATGCTATTCTGCATCCGCAGTGGCTCCGCACCTTTCTAGCTGAAACGCAACTGTATCGGTCTCCGGTCACCAATATCATGGCTGACAACCAATCCGCCATTGCACTTTCTCGCAATCCTGAATTCCATAAGCGGACGAAGCATTTCAATGTGAAATTTCACTATCAGCGAGCCGTGCTGGATGCAGGCGAGATAGGGCTTCAATATGTTTCAACTGAGGAACAGGCCGCAGATGGTCTCACCAAGCCATTGGGGCCTACGTCCTTTGTCAAGTTTTGTAGTCTCTTAGGAATCGACGCCTCAGAGACTCCAAGGCAACATGCATGAGACAGCACAGGCGCTCTTTCCACTTTGTTTTCCCAGAAAGGGGTTTTTTGAGTGGTTTTACCGAGGCCTGACTGCTCTGCGCAATTCCAGTATCGCCCTGCCAGCAAAGCGATTCTGAGGGGGAATGTTGTGATATGAGGCTGGTGCAGATCAGGAACCAAGCCGAACCATCGGAATTAATTCCGAGATATGTATACGAAGAACAAGTTGATTGGAATTCAACTTGTTCTTCTCGTTGTATATATAGTCTCAAGTTTCCCACCGAATAATAGAGGAATCAATCTTCCTTTAAACTACAACAGGATGCACCAAGGTGTCGGTTATTCTGATCAAAGGGCAAGTATATTGTGCGCTGGCTAGGCATTCGATCTATATACAAAGTGGAGCCCCAGGTGAGGTAGCCGCACACCACTACCCTTTTCGGTCGTCAATCAACCTACCTAAAACGAAGTAGCTTGAGCACCAGCAAGCGAGCTGTAAGGAGTGGCACCAGGATAGAACGAAGTAGGAATAGCAGGAATAGGAATAGACGAGGCAGTACCGAAAGCCTCCTTCAGATCCGAAGCCATAGTCGCAGCAGAATAGCCAGTAGGGGAAGACTTGACAGTAACAGTGGTGGTATACGAGGTGTAATCCTCGCTATCCTTGAGGCATTCACCGGAGCCATAGGCGCTCTCACAGGTGTTGACCTGGTAGGAGCCAGACTCGGTCCACATAGCGAAATCCTCGATAGTCACGTCCTTACAGGGCACTTTGGCGGCGCACTTGACTTTGACCGGGCCGCGCTGGGCGCCGTTGGCTTCGGTTCCCTTCCAGTTCTTGACCGTGACGTTGGTCAATTGGACGCCGTCGCCGGAGACTTTGCTCATGCTGCTCCAGGCGCCGTCGATGTCGAGGGAGTAGGCGTTGCCGTGGCCTATATCTATTAGTGCTTCTAGAAAGATAGTTGGCGAATGAATTCTTGCCTATGAAGTTCTCCAAGAGGACGTTATCGATGCTGCCGCTGCCACCGTTGCTCTTGATCATGTACATCTGGTTGGACGACCAGGTGTATATGTTGCGGTAGGTGATATCGGAGACATCGACATCAGTGCCGAGGGAGCCCATGGCGCAGCCACCACTCCAGTTGCAGTAGATGTTCTCGACCAGGATGTTCTTGGCGGGACTCTATCATGTTGTTAAATGTACTACTTTCCGGCAGCGGGAACCAACACAATCATACCTTGACAGTCACACACTCGTCCTTGTTGGTAACCTCGACCTACTCTTATTAGAAACAACCCCATATTAGAATAATTATCGATCACGCACATCATGAACCCAGATGTTAGTAGACCAAACATCAATACCGTCAAGTCCACCCTTGTCACCACCGCGAATAGCCATGTTATAAACCTCACCATTCTCACAAGTATCAAGCGAGAGATGGAAGACAGGGGCATCGACAAGAGCCAAATCATGGACCGAGAAGTCTGTAACATCATATAGTCTTAGGATACGAGGGCCGCTAGTCGATCCGGACTTGTGGAACTCATATCCTAAGCCCTGGATAGCACCCTTTGAGGTTGAACTGAACATCTCAAAGTTGGTGGTGTGATTGACCATGATCATGTTTCCATCATCGGTGCCAGTCCGATAGAGGATACCATCTAGCTGAATTGCAGTGTTCTTACCACTGCTGAGAGTGACCCATGACGAGAAAGCGTAGTCTCCAGGCGGGATGTACACCACACCACCGTCTCTGCAGGCAACCCAGGCTGAGTTAAGAGCCGAGCCGATATCGGTCGACTTGTCTGCCACGGCACCGTAGTCGAGGACATTGCAGACCTTTTTAGCGGACTTCGTTGCGGCGGATGTCGTTGGGCCGACGGAGCCGCTCAAATAGGCATTTGCGAGCAATGGCGCCAGGCCTATTGCGAAAAGAGATCGAATAAACATGTTGAATACAAAGCACAAAATACAAATGAAAGAAGTGAAACGAAGAAATGGGTTGGAAGGACTCAAAATCCGTGCTGGCTTGACTATTATAGAGCCCCTGAAGAGTTTCATTCTTTATCTCATACATGCTTAGGGCTGCTCATCACCTTGTAAGTCGCATTAGCCTAGCGGCGTTATTTAGCTTATACTTTATGTAAAAAGGGCGGGCAATCAAAGGAACCGGATATACTACAACTTGGTAAGTCTCACACGTGGCAAAGGTGAGTTTAGTTTCGGTTTGACTGGCTCCGCAAACTTGGCGGTGTATTTTCCTTCCTGGTAATTTGAACCTAAAATCCGACCACTACAAAACCGAAGCGAGTGAAGCCAGGGGAACAACGATTAGTCACGATTAGTAAATTGTAGCAACTGACAGAAATATGCAGTACGACCATATATGGTACCCCCCAAGGTTAACTATGTA